CCTTTGATTTTTCTCTACTTGTTCAACTATATTTTCGTTGTTGTTGATTGAAGAGCTCTAAATTAACTGTACCTATGTAGTGTGTATATTGCTCGAGAGAGAGTACACATTTAGGTAGTTATTGAACAACCTCACTCCTAACGTATATGAAAGGTCAATACGGAGGGTTTAAAGGCGGGATTAGAAATAACGAAACCTTGGTGCGATCATAGTGAGCGGTGAATTAGTGTCATCTAGTGTAGTTCGAGAGATATGTCTAGTAAATTGTGGTAGTTGCTAGAGAGAGAGCTACGACACCCAAAGTGCTCACGATCGGTAGAGAATACTTAGGTGAATTTATATAAAATATAGCGGGGGATATTCCGACAATAGAGGAAATCATAGCTCTAGATCTCTCCTTAATCTTTTCGCCAAAACTTAGTATCTCTATTTATTAATTTACTACTTTAATTTGTTAGTTAATTAGTTAGATATAAGAATCTTAATCTTTATAACTTTGGAATTTATCCGGACTTGACATGTTAGTGATATTGAACAGTTATAGTGAAACCTTAGTTCTCTGTGGGATTCGACTCCGGACACTACTAAAAAATCTAGTTTTAGCGACGGACAAATTCTGTAGCTAAATAAAAAAAAATCCATCGTTAATCTCATTTAGCGACGGATTAGCAATAGATTATCAAGAAATTCAGCTAGCTACGGGCGTTTTAGCGACAGATTAGCGACGGCATTCGTAGCTAATTTCAGTTCTTTTTGTAGTGGGACTTGTAAACCGGATTATATTTACAGCGACCACTTAGTCCTTTTTATAAGGCATAGTTGGGCGTGATCAAGCTGCCTACCTCATCTTTTCTATTTATCTTACACCATGTGAGAAACCATAGGATGGCACGAACAAGAATAATGGGAAGAGCCCTCTCATTTCCACTCGTCTTGCGAAACTTTATTTTTCTCGACGGAGTTTCGCTTTTTGCTCAATAATTAAATTGTGTGACTTGAATCGTAATCTTAACCAGTTGCGTCTACATTCGAGCAGATCTGACCGGAAATATCAAGTTTTGGCGACCCTTATGCGTCGGTGTCGTCTTCTCCTCGTTTTTTCTTTTCATTTTTGTCTACAGACTATAGATCTAAAAACATATGGTGAAACTCCACCATTATTTAATCTTGTCGAAATTTTGTTTTCCAATGACTTTGTGGTTTAGTCGAATTTTGGTGTTTCCGGCAACTTTCATGCTTCTACTCATTGGTTGTTATGATTAAGCCCTTTGTTCATTTACGTTGGATCTAATTTCACTATTCTCAACTATTATTGTTCTGTTCTGTTTTGTTCCCTTCGTTTACTGCCCTTGTTTGTTGGCTAATGATTTTATTGGTAATGTATTCCTTCTCTTCTGTTCGTTTGCTGCTGCGTTTTGGAAAAGAAATGGCAGAAAATTAATTTTTCCGGTGAGGGGTCGTTGGGAAGATGACGACGAGTGGGGTTAAGTTAAATCCACGTGTCCTCATTATATTCATCACTTTGATGTGTGAATTACACGCACCTTTTGTGTTTGGGTATCTCTGAATTTTGTGTCCAAATGACACATTTAAGCTGTAATTGGAGTGTTCAAATGGAACGGACTTAAGATGAAGTGTCTAAGTAAAAAGTGAAGACAACTTTGAGGGATTGTCGATGTACTCAGTCAACTCTATACATCTAGTTAAGGATCAATGGTTTCAAACCATTCCATCACAATCATTGGTTGTAACAGTCCATCTTAATAGTGATAAAAAACAATTTCTTCGATCTTTTTTGGTGTTCAAAATGGAACTAGTTATAAAAATATAAGTGACAAAGATTACTTGTTAAATTTCCACAAAATATAACAATATAAATCATGAATTATCCACCACTAGTAATGATCCCCAGGATCATATCTTTTGTAAGAAAAATTGGCATTCTATAACAACACATAATAGAACTTGGCAATTTTTTAGCCTTATATTAGGTTTGGCAAAGATAGCCCTACACAATTGCCATTATATAGCCAAATCTTAAAAAAAAAACTACTCTATTTCAAATTTTCTCTCAAAAAAAAAAAAATACACGCTTATTTTGGCTTCCCTCCCCCTTTCTCTCCTTGTATTTCTTCTTTTATCTCTTCTCTTTTGCTCTCATAGTTTAGCAAAAATTCTTGCAAATTATGCAAAAAAAAAAAAAATCAGTGGGATGAAAAGTTAAGGTTGATCTCACATCAGAGAAAATCAGAAGCAAAAACTAAGAGAGAAAAAATATATTTCAACTTTGTTTTTCTTCTCTTCTCTTTTTTTTTTTTTTTTTGTTGGATTGAATGAGTGAATGTGATTGAAATTGGTTGAAAATACCTAAACGAGGCTATACACAAAATTTGAGCAAGATTAGCAAAAACTAAGAGAGAAAATATATTTCAACTTTGTTTTACTTCTCTCTTCCTTTTTTTGGTTGGATTGAATGAGTGGGTGTGATTGAAATTGGTTAAAAATACCTAAACGAGGTTATATACAAATTTTGAGCAAGATTAGAAGTGATTTAGACTGGTTTCAGGTAAAAAATCTAAAAATCCAACTACGACATGTGTATATCACATTGTATATCGTGTACATCAGTATATATCACACACAAGTTTTTAAGGACGTCTGTATATATCACATTGTATATCGTGTATACAACCCAATTTTTTTATGGACGCCCATGTATATCTCATTGTTTATCGTATATATAAAATAAATTTTCATGGATATACACAGATACACATAATATACATGAGACATCACTGATGTGCACAGAGATATACACGGGTGGTTACAATAGAGGATACACATGTGGAGTCGTATTGAACTTGAGTTTTCAATTTGAAATGTGTTACACAAAGAAGGAAAATAAAATTTTAATAAATTTTTTTGATATACACATTATTATTATGTTATACATTGTGATATACAAATAATATAATTATTAATTATTGATCAAAAAAAGAAAATAAATTTTTGATATAGCACGTTTAAGCAAGTTATAAAATATAAAATAATAAATGCAATTGTGGGAGTAAATAATATTTTTATATACAAAAAAAAAATTGATATACACAAAGAAGAAAAATAAACTTATGATATCTATTTTGGTATACACATGTCCGATGTGCTATACACTATGATATACGAATAAGACAATATTTTTATTGTGATATACATTGATATAAAGGCAGCAATAACTATATATATAATTTTATATTATTGATATACAAAGAATAATATTATTTATATATAAAATAATAAAAATAAAATTTTAATTTACATGTTATTATAGACAAAGAAGAAAAAAAAGTTGTGATATACATATTATTATTGTGATATACATTTATTGGCTATTTGATGCCAATATCTATAACTAGGACGATTTTCTACTAATTATATGAGTATGTTGTTATACCATGCCAACACCCCCTTTTGTAATCCCTAGTTCTATTACTATTAAATAAATGTCCAATTTATCAAAAAAAAATAATTCAGATGGGATGTTGAACTTGGGCCCCACAAATTTGGCGGCAGACTGATTTGAACACATGGTGTTCAAGAATAAAGGCATGAAATTCAAAAATAGCCAGATTTACAATTGATCATTTAAAAATAGCTCAGTTTCAAAAGTAATCGAAATTTAGCCATTTTTTATGTAAAGATAAATTTGAGCAAAAATACTGTTCAAAACCCGAAAAAATACGCCAGTATATTATGCTGGAGTTCCAGCATAAGTGTACTTGAACCCCAGCATATTATACTAGAATTCCAGGATAAGTATGCTGGAACTCCAGCATAATATGATGGAGTTCCAGCATAAGTACACTAGAACTCCAGTATAATATACTGGAGTTCCTGCAAGTATACCGGTCCAGCATAATATACTGGAGTTTGGAGCACCGGTGCTCCAGTCTCTAGTATATTATACTGGAGCCAGCAAAGTATACCGGTGCAACATAATATGATGGAGTTCATACACAGGTGCACCGAACTCCAGCATATTATGCTGGACCGGTCTCTGTTGCAGCAAAAAAGTGGCTATTTTTCATTGACTTGGTAAACGCTGCCTATTTTTGAATGACCAGTCCGAAAACTGGCCATACCGTGCTATTTTTCATGTATGGGAGAAATTCAAAAATAACCAGATTTACAAGTGGTTATTCAAAAATAGCCATTGTTTCAAAAGTCATCGAATTTTAGCCATTTTTCATGTAAAGAGAAATTTGAACGAAAATACTGTTTAAAATCTGAAAAATACTCCAGCATAATATACCGGACTTCCAGCATAATATATTGGAGTTCCAGTATAATATACCAGTCCAGCATAATATACTGGAAGTTCATACACAGGTGCTTCAATCTCCAGTATATTATGCTGGAATTTTCCGCATGTTGGAGTTCCAGCATAATATGCTGGAAGTTCATACATAGGTACACCAATCTCCAGTATATTATCCTGGAACTTTCCGCATGTTGGAGTTCCAGCATAATATGCTGGAAGTTCATATGCAGGTACACCAATCTCCAGTATATTATGCTGGAACTTTCCGCATGTTGGAGTTCCAGCATAATATGCTGGAAGTTCATACACAGGTACACCAATCTCCAGTATATTATGCTAGAACTTTCCGTGTTACAGCAAAATAGTGCTATTTTTCAATAAATTTAAAAACGCTGGCTATTTTTCGATAACCAGTCCAAAAACTGACTAGCCCGTGCTATTTTTACGATCTTGAACGGTGCTTCATCCTTGTCGTAATTTCTCTTATATAGCCTACGCAATGTATCATTTTTGGCCTTTTGTTATGCAATGTACTAATTTTTGGCCTATACGTGTAACCTGCACATTCAGAAAAAGAAAGTGTAATACTATGCCCAAAAAATGATGTCACTTTATCCTGATTAACTCCACTTCAACTTGTCATCTTCTCTGATCAAAACCCACAATACCCCCACCCCCACCCTCCCTCCCACAACCCCTCATGTTCAGATTGCAAGCAATTTTCCAATAAACAGGTACTTGTGCTGTGCTGGTGAGAGGTATTAGGTATCGACATGCATTGAGCTGGTCCGCACCTCACGATTATTAAAAAGAAAGAGAAAACAACCCAATTGAGGAAACTATTATAAAGATTTTAGGCTCTTGGTAATAAAGGTACAAGCTTTTCCCCTTAACATATCTGCAAAGAAGCTTTATTCATTGTTTTTACTTTATAATTGTGTGATTATTCAGTTTTGGTAGATGAAAATGCTGTTTTACTATGATCTCAGGATATAGCTTACTTGGACTCTCTGTTTTGATCCTGATTATAAATGGCTGAAGTGATTGGTCCAAGATTATATAGTTGCTGCAATTGTAGGAATGAAGTTGCGCTACACGATGATGTTATTTCTAAAACATTTCAAGTGAGTAACTTTTGCTCTTTATTTCTTTTTCCTTCGAATTAGTGGTGGCAAAATAGTTAAAAGAAAATAGTTAATCACTCATATTATCCACTAAAAAGTGGGTTGTATAATGAACTTTTTAATCAAATTGGGGAATCCTCAAGCTTGGGCACTATGAATTCTCCCAAAAGTGATCATATTCAAGAAATCATGAATAATATAGTTACTCATATTATCCGCCGGTCAACCCGTTTTTTATCCGTATTAAATATGGGTAGAGCTGCCAATATGGGTCGGGTGGGCTAGCCCAGCCCAGCCCACGTGGGCTTTAGCAATTGACGGGCTGGGCTGGGCTAGCCCACCATTTTGATAGGCCTTATAATGGTCAGCCCACCCCAGCCCTATGTGGGCCGCGGGCCCCCACGGGCCGGCCCATCATTTTTAAAAATATAATTTTATATTTTTTCTTTAAGTTCTAACCTAAAAAAAGATAATTATTTAAAGTTAAAAAACATCTTGTTGGAAAAAATTCGCAAAACTTATTAACTTTTTATATTGTTCCTATATATCGCAATAAATACTAAAAAAAGTAAAAGACAAGACTATATTTCATTCACTAAAAGTCAAAATTTAAAACAAACTATTGAAGAGAACGTTCATGATGCTTATGAGATATCCAACACATCATCTTCATCAAACACATTTGAATCCGCTTGTGACAAGGTTGTCTTAACATCTTTACTTTCATCTACAATTCATATGCAATATTAATTAGTTAAATATTAAAAATAATTAAATTTTAAAAATTAATAATATTTAAATTCACATAAAAAAATGTTACAAGTTTGAGTTTTGGAAAACCTGTGCAGCCAATTTCGAGTAGTAACAAGTGTTTTGACATTTTTATAATAAATGCAACTTCTGTACTTTGTAAGAACACGCCACCAATGCTAAATGTTAATTCCGATGCTACAATGGTAATAAGATTACTAAGTACATCACGCACCTTCATTGAAAGATCGGGATATTTTCTAGAATGGTCCTTCCAATACATGACAACATCCATCTCTTGAAACTTCTCAAGATCAAGTTTTGGTTCCTCTTAGTGAAGATCCAATTCTGACTTTCCATCTCTAAAGGCAATATACTTTTTATTTTTTATATATTTTAAATTAATATTTTATTAGGTCCACGGCCGGCCCGGCCCAGCCTCAATCAAGCCTCACGGGCCACGGGCTTACTCGGGTCGGGCCTAAAAGCCTCATTTTTAAACGGGCTCCAAATATTTTAGCCCAGCCCTGCTAAATCATGGGCTGGGCTGGGCTGGCCCGACGGGCCAAGCCCATATTGACAGCTCTAAATATGGGATGGGTCAGATAATTTATCCCTTTTTTCATTAGACGTTTTCGACTCGAACCATAACCGACCCGACCCGCCCGTTTGCCACGGGATTACTATTTGGGGTTTTGAATGCTACACCTATTCTAATCAAATACTCCCTCCGTTTCAAGTTAGATGAGATAATTTGACTCATCACAGAGTTTGAGGAAGAAAAAAAAGAGTTTTGAAACTTTTGGTATTAAAAGCTCAGGGAGTAAAAGCTTTGTGGGGCCATGACATTTGTGTGGTTATAAAAGTTTCTTGTTAAGGTAAAATGGGTAAAATGGGTAAAATAAAGAGTTTAAAGTTGGATTATTTCCAAATTTAGAAATGTGTCATTTATTTTGGAACAGACTAAAAAGGAAAGTAGCTCGTCCCTTCCTTTAGCTACTAAGATGTTTCAGTTCGCCTCCCCGAAGCCCTCCCCGAAGCCTATAAAGATTAAAAGGTTAAATTGTATTATTTGTAATGCACTATTCTAAGGTTAAATTGTTTTATGGTCTTTGTTCTTTGCTATAGTCAGTTTAATAGCCAATGCTAGTGTATACTATGTTCAAACAGATAGTAATAGAACATAAAATTATGTTGTCTCGCCTAATTCCTTTTGTATATTTCTGATAAAATCGATGATCTTGTTGCATATAAGAATGTTGTCGCCTGTCTAATTTGAAGAGGCGCCTTGGCATAACTGGCAAAGTTACTACCATTTGACCAGGAGGTCACGGGTTCGAGCCGTGAAAATAGCCTCTTGCAGAAATGCAGGATAAGACTGTATACAATAGACCCTTGTGGTCCGGCCCTTTCCCGGACCTCGCGCATAGCAGGAGCTTAGTGCACCGGATTGCCCTTTGTGTTTTACCTGATTAAGAAAAAAGAATGTTGTCACCTGTGCCACAGAATGAGTGAGGCTATACGATGTTTCAAAAGTTGAGTTACATTTTTTTTTCTCAAGTGTTTCCGCTAATATGTTGTCTAATTTGACATTTAGGGAAGAAATGGTCGAGCATTTTTGTTCTCTCATGCGATGAACGTTGTTGTTGGGCTCAAAGAGGATAGACAACTCATGACTGGTCTCCATACAGTTGCTGATGTCTATTGCTCTGACTGCCGCGAGGCGCTGGGTTGGAAATACGAACAAGCTTATGAGGAGACACAGAAATACAAGGAAGGCAAATTCATACTCGAGAAGTCGAAGATTGTCAAAGAAAATTGTAGTCCGTCATGCTATGTCAAAGTGTGTGGATGATTCATGCTCATTTTGTTATATCAACTCTGAGCAATTCAAAAGGTCAATTCATTGCTGCCAATAGCCTGATCTCAGCTTCTATTTCTTGTGTGTGTACAGTGAGACATCTCTATAACAACATCCTTATAAAACGACACTTCACTATAAAAGTCAAGCTTTTCTGGAACCAATTTTCATGTTATGTTATAATATATGCTCTCTATAACAGCACTTCGCTATAACATCCAAAAATATTCGGAACAAACAAGGCTGTTATAGAGAGGTTTGACTATATATATCATATTTTCTTTACTTGGTTTCGTTGAGCAAATGACGGCTGAGTTATTGCAAAAGGTCCAGGGCCTGCTTTTGCGCGATCATAACTGTATTTTGTCATGAGAAATCTCAATGTAAACATGGTCAGTTGTCCTGCAAGCAAAAGTACATAAGAGTCTTCTCCTAGTTTTGAAACTAAAACATAGAGAAAATAGAAAGTAAAGAACTGCTATAGAACTTCAAAGTATAAAGATACAACTATGAAGGTGTTTTAGAACTGCCTAAGAAAGCTTTTATTACACTCTTGTTGAAATGCAGGGTAAGGCTGCGTACAATAGACCATTGTGGTCCGGCCCTTCCCCGGACACTGCGCATAGCAGGAGCTTAGTGCACCGGACTGCCCTTTTTACTGGTTTTGAAATGCATCATTGAAATTGGAATGCCTGAAATTTTTGCTACTTTTGGAATTCATCGTGTTTTGAGGGTTCAATGATGTTGGAGAGAAGGTTGAGTAACATAATGCAATCGCAAAGGGAAGCCACTTAACCAGCATTGAGGAAGAAACTCAAGTAGTTTGCCTTAACCAATCCTTGAATTCTTATTTGTGTTGATATGGTCTTTCTTATTTATTTAAATATGTCTAAAACTGCAAATATTAAGATTGTGACATGATTAATTCCTTTGGCATAAGATGTTCATTATCAGTTTAGTGATGTGCCTGATACCATCTCAGATGATGCAAAGTAGGTGATTCATCTACAGCTTGCTGCTACTTCAATAATTTATCTTCCCTGAAAGAAAAGCTTGTATATACACTGGTAAATTAACAAAACTTAATAAAGGGCTAAGCTCTTGCTATGCGCGGGGTCCGGGGAAGGGCCGGACCATAATGATTTATTGTACGCAACCTTACCTTGCATTTCTGCAACAGCATGTTTCCACGGCACGAACTAGTGACCTCTGGTCATATGGCAACACTTTACTAACTACGCTAAGCCTCCCCTTCAAAACTAAATAAACACAATTTCCTTCTCATGCATGTGTCTCTGCTCCTGACTTAATAGTGTCTTAGGCTTCAATCTCTAATATCTTAAGAAGAGGAAATAACACTAAAATAGTAAGAGCTACATGTAAGAAAATTAACGTTGCAGTGCATAAGATAACAGTAACCAAGAAGTTAAAGGCACTAAATTCCAGATGAGCAACTCATAAGTCAAAAGCAAGCACCAAGCTTGCAGAAGCTTACTTGGGAGCAAGTATACAAAAAATTTCATTTCATTAACACCGCTGGATAGTTTTTTTTTTTTAAAAAAAAAAGGTAAAACTAAGAAAAGAGAATAAACAATTTCCCTAAAAATAAAATGGAACTTCTCTTGCTAGGTCAAAGATTTGCGGAGTAGCAAGAAACAAGCTATGTACATATTTTCTTTTTACTTGTCCACTTCTTTCTGGCATTTTCAATTGCCTCCACTCTCATTCTCAAGAGTTCACGGCAAGATTGCTGATACTGCATATTGATGGCATCAAGTTCCAACTTGAGATCCTGCAATTGATTCTTGTCATTTGCTCCTTCGATGAGAGAGATGGAAGAGAGGTTAGAGCTCAAATCATTAGATATGAGATTCCGCGAGCTATCAAAGGATATCCCTGAATTTTTGGTACAATCACTCATTACAACATCACCAATACTACCCACATTGTAGCTTGGAACATGGATCTTGGGACCCTTGATGCATTCTAACTCATTGCCAAGCAATCTTAAAAGGTTGTTATACTCAACATCTGAATCTGATGTTCCCCTTTGATTCAAAGATGTAGCGCCTAGTTCTCCAATAACGTGATCCTCTATTCCAGGAGTCTGAGAAAGGACATGAAACTGGTTATGAGCACCTTTCAATTCATAATTCTGAACAAAACTTGCAGAGATTGGATTACTGTTAATCACAGTTGAATCATTGGATGAGTTATTCACTGCACCGGAACTCCCAAAAGAATATTTCTGGCTTGTCGAGAGTTTGAGAATGAAGCCGTCAATCAATTCAGCAATTGTTGCCACATCGTCGTTTGACAGCGCAAGCTCCTCTGCCATCTCACTAGCTATTGACATCACAGTGTCAACATCAAGATAAAATACAAACTGCACATGCCTAATCCGACCTGTTAAAAACAAAGAAAAGAGTCAAACATTTGCCAACAAATACTCCATGTATATTCTTTTAGCATGATTACATACCAGTCGATTGAGCAATTCGCAGTGAAAAGGCAATTGATTGGTCATCATGCTTGTCACCTTGTAATCTAAATTCGTTTCTCCCATTACTTCTCACAAAGTCTAGATTAGAAAACTGAGGACATCCATTCTTGCTTTCTATGGACATGTCACTTTGTAACTTCTTCTGTGAAAGGTCTATGTCCATGGAAAAAGAATACGACTTTGGCAAACTCTGAGCTTCAGGCACAAAATTTGAGTGCTGCAAAGGATCACATAGGGGTTTTTTCAAGCTTTCAGATGAAAGAAATGGGTCTTCCAAAAGTTCAGCTGCACTCAATCTTACAGATACTGGGGCCAAACATTTCTCCACAAATTGCTTTACATGAGGATCTGTTACTTTCGCTAATGATGCTGGCTTTATGCCCTGAAATCAAACATTTTCCTAAGCAATTGCAATTATTTTAGAGTTGAACAAAATAATAGTTGTAAAGCTTAGGATAAGTGGAGCTCACCGACGTGACTTTTTTGTAAATTTGTGCTTGATTTCTACACTCATTATATGGATATTCACATGTGATTAGCTCCAAGATGCACATGCCAAAAGAATATAGGTCGACAAGTTCATTATATTCTTCATCATATAGCTCTGGTGCCATAAATTCAGGGGTACCTGAAAAAAAGAAAACACAAGAAAATATGGTAATAGGGGTTAATATATCAGTTTTGATAGAACCAAAGGCAGCAAGTCCAAGTTAAATAACTACCAATAACACTTCGAGCTGTAGGCTGCTCCATGATTGTTGCCAATCCAAGATCTCCAAGTTTAACTTCTCCATGGTTTCCATTGATGAATATATTATCACATTTCAAGTCTCTATGTATAACTGGTGGATTGTGACTATGGAGATAATGTAAACCTCGGAGAATTTGTCTAGCCCATTTTTTAACAGCCCTCGTGTCAACAGTCTTGTGCTTTCTCCGATATCTAATAGCCATAGAAAGCAAATGACATATGAATAAGAAAGTTTGGAAGTTGCATTGTTAATAAGAAGGAGCAATATGCAAGAAACATTGGACTCACTGCCTTAAGCTTCCTGAACTAAATAATTCAGTGATCATATTAATACTTTTGTTCACATCGTCCACCCATGAAGCATATAGCTTTATAATGTTTTCATGCTTCAACATTCTCAACAAATGAACCTCAGAATATATCCTCTCCAAATATTCTGGTGACTGCAAAGCATCATCTATGCAAATTTGATTCCAAGCAACTTCTATTCCATCGATTTCATCAAATGCCTTATAGCTACACATAAAACATGTGAAAATTAAACACTAAAGTATTGTGAACGAAGAATGACCAACTACATCTTAACATAATTAAAGTGCAAGAAAAATAACAGGAGATGGGTCTAGGAGCCATACACAGTCTTAAATGCTCCACGTCCCAAGATTTCATTATACTGGAGGAAGAAAAACAAAGAGAAGGTGACAATACCACCAAAACCCGCAATATTACATAAACGAAACAGAATGAAAAAAATATCCCATAATAACCGAGCACACTCCATTTCTCAACAAAATGTATAGATAATGCAAAAGAGCAAAATATAATCATAGTAAATGAAAACCCAACTAAATTCCTACCTACATTACAATTTGTTTCAATAGCAAGCCCCACTTTAGTTCAACTAGGCATCAAAAGATACAACAGCTCTTTGCCGAAATGCAAGCAGAAGCATATAAACTCACCCTCGGTATGGTGTAAGCCATTTTAACAAGCCTCACGTTCAAATCAAGAGTTTAAGTTATATACACTATTGTAGCAGGTAACCTGTCTTATTTTCAAGATTATAAGCCTCACATTTTAAGGAGACTTACCTACAGATATTCTTTGGATGTACCTGTGTAATAATATTTTACAACGACGGTGTACATAACTTAAACTAAGATGAACTAAAGGAACAAAGTACAACAAGCAGGAGTCAGTTGATTTAATCAAATAATCCTAAAAATAGTAAGTTTACAAAAATAGAGACACCAGAAAGAGAAAGACATAAGTACCCGAATGTATCGCTTGTCAGGGGATACTTCAACAACCTCAGGCTCATCAAATTTACCTTTCAATTTTGACATGTAAATCCATGGTGTAGAAGAATTCATCTCTCCACCGAAAAAAAAAACCCCAAAAATATTGAAACACCCAAATCCTATAAAAGATTAAAATCGGGTAAAATCAAAGAAAAGGTTCAGAGAATGCTTCACAGGCAACTGAATAAGAATCAATAACCCTTCCAAATCGGAATTGGCGTTCAAAGAACTCAACTTTAAGGGAAATCAAAGCAAAATTGAGAACTCCCATTTGCAAAATTCAAGTAATTAACCACAAAAACAAGAACCCAGTATTGAAACGCATATAGCTAGACTAATTAGGGCAAGAAAAAAAATTCAAACCCTAAACCTCAACGCCCTATACCGAAACCCTAATCTGTTGATAAAGATTTGGGGATTGACAATGGTAAATTTAGGGAAAAATTTTAACGGGAAGATTGTGATTAAAGAGCGTAGAAGAGAGAGGAATGGAGAAAAGAGGAGCAGCTGAAAATAGTCAATTTGGATTAAGGGTTAATAGTTTGTCAACTTTGACAACTAAGCTTTCGCTATTTTTGATAATCAAGCTGCTAAAGAG